CAAATTGAAGCAAATCTGATGAAGTAACTGGCCTGTACTGTTAAAAAAATGTCAATGTATTTTAACACAGAGAAATTGTTCCAGATACAAGGAGATCAAACAAACAGGCTACTGAGTGCATGTTTGCAATCCCAGGGACTTGGAAGGCTGAGGTAGGATCAAAAGTTTGAGGCCAGCCTCAGTAATTTAGTGAGACTCTGCCTCAAAATAAAATTTAAAAATGGGGCTGTGGATATACCCCAGAGGTAGAGTACCCCTGAGTTCAATCTTCAGAACCACACACACAAGAGGGTGGGTGGGCATTTGGGAAGAGTAAATGTCATGAAATCATGAATTACACCTTAGACCAGGAAAAAGCATATGACAATAAAACATATTGGAAGAATTAACATTTGAAAAATGGGCAGTGGAGTTTTCTATACTGCTAAGCTTCTGTATTTTAATAATCGTAATGTTTCTTTCCAGAGAATTTCCTATGTGAACTATTTAAGTGTAAAGGTGTATGATATCTACAACTGAAGCTGAAGATGGTTCAGGAAAAAGCCAAATCTATCATCTGTCCATCAAAACAACAATAAGGAAAAGGGGGAAATGTAAGCAATTGGTTCCTCTAGGTAAAGAGTACATGGAGAGTCCTAGTCTTGCAATTTTTCTTCAGTGTCAATTATTTCAAAATACAAAAGTTACAAGAAGAGCTAAGAATTTATCTGGAATACATGCAACACACACATGCACACACACACACACATACACATATAAAATTTAAGCTTCAAGTTACTGTAGTCTTTTCTGGGTACAAAAGCTTCTCAGACATCTCTGCATTCTCACACAATAGGTATTGTTTATCATGGAACATCTGGCAGGTTGCCACTCTCATGTTGTCAAATAATCCATGAGGGAGCAGAACCCTGAAGTCCAAGGGGCAATGAGGAATGTGTTTGTGGTTCCTGCTCCAGTGGCTTTGCTACTGTGGGAAAGAATTTGATTCATGTCCTTCCTACACTTAATTTGAAGGCAGTCTTTGCATGTGTGCCAGTGCCTGCCTTTGTATTCATTCCACCATTAGAACATTACAAATTCAGGGAAATCCCATAGCAGCTCCACAGAACACATCCATTAGTCTTGGTGCTTTCCCCCAAACACACATTCTGCTTGCTGGTGCACAATCTGCGCCAGCTTGCTTCGTTTTAATTTTTAACTTTATTAATTCGGTCCCCTCCAACACGTGCCAAGTATGGAATGAAAAGCCAAATGCCCTCCTCAGAGTCAGCCACACACAGTTGTTTCAGACACTGAATTGCTGAAGATTCCTCAGTTATCTAGTTAATTGTCACCAAAACAGCCAGTCTGGATGTTTCAACAAGGCAGGTTTGTATAATGGTGGAAGGGATACATGATTTATTTATTTAAATAGCCTGACGATTATTTCTGGTAGATGTGGAATTCGAGACACAATTTCAATGCAGTACTTATGCACGTGGACATCATCACCCCCTCCCCCAAAATGAGCAAGTGATTTCTATCAGAGGTGCCCACACTATCACCATCCTTGAGTTTGATCATCTCCTATTATGTCCAAAATCAATAGAATTATTCCTTTGGTCCACAAGCATCTGATCTCTTTTGGGGGAGCCTCTACCACGACTGTTGGGAGACAAAGATAACCTCCCCCTAGAGGACCTAAGATGGCTGCCTCTTTCACAGGTAGAGCAGGCAGCAGAGCAGGGCAGGGAGGAGGAAAGGGATCTCCTGTGTGGTTGTTATGACTACTGTTGGGGAATCCTCCCCAAAACAGGTTCGAAGGTCATAATTTTAGGTGCCTCTCCAACTGCTCACACATCCCCTGAGGTCTGGTACTATTAGCTATGGTAGAAGTGGTAGGAAATTCTCTAGAATGGCAAAGTGTAAATTGCAAATTGGTTTAATCCATATACTTATTACTAAAAACAAAAAAAGTGATCACTATGACTACCCCTCCACAAAATGTATCTCCCAGCCTATAAATGCTTATCCTCTGTTATGGTTTATATTAGATGTCCCCCAAAAGCTCATGTGTGAGACAACGCACGATGGTTTAGAGGTGAATAATTAGTTTATGAGATCCTTAACCTAATCAGTGAATTAATCCTGTGGTGGGGATTAACTGAGTGGTAACTGAATATGGGTTGGGTGTGGCTAGAAGAGGTGGGTTATTGGGGTATATATTTTGTGCCTGAAGAGGAGGGCTTTCTTTTGGCTTCTTGGTGCAATGCCCTGAGCCACTTTCCTCTACCATGCTCTCTCCCTGTTACCAAAAGCTCAGTTCTTGTTTCTGAAAAAGGAAAAAGTTTTATTGCTTGCTAGCAAAGGAGGAACGTAAGGTCTCCAGTCCCAGAGGCTGATTGATTCTCCCTATCTTTAAAAGGGGGCTTTTAAAGACTCCTTACCACGTGTGGTCCTTGTAGAGTGATTGTGACTCGTTAATTTCGGAGATATCCACCCACCTCCACCAGTCTGAATTGCTTGCTTCCTGTGGTACATGTGTGCTCAAACAACCAGGAGGGGAAGAAGGTAATCATGTTCCCTGCTCCCAGGTTAGGGAGGGGGAGAGGGAGAAGAGGAAAGGAAATTAGCCTCAATGGCAGAGCAGCAAGGGCTATTTTCAAAGCATGAGGTTTGTTACACTGTTACACTACCATGATATTCTGCCTCACCTTGAGTTCCCTGGAATGGAGCCAGTCTTCTATGGACTGAGACCTCTGAAATTATGAGCCCCCAAATAAACTTTTTCTTCTTTAATTGTTCTTGTCAGGTATTTTTGGTCATAGCAGCGAAAAAGCTGACAAAAACACCCTCTTTGATCCTGCAACCTCACTTCTAGGAATGGGTTTCATGGATATAATTGTGTGTAAGAAAAATGATGAAATAAGAAATGTACATAGCCAACGATGAAAAATAACTCATATATTCTACTAAAATGAACCACTTAAATAACTTTCATATACTGGAATATTATAAAGCTATCAAAAATGAAAATTTTTTATATATTGACATGAAAAGACTTAAGTTTTAAAAAGGTAGGAATATATATTTATAGTTGCTTATATACTAATAAAGACACTTTGGAAGAATATATCAGAAATAACTGTTTACTCAAAAGGCAGTGAAGATAATGTGGGGCCACCCTGTGATGGTTGGGAGGCTTTTCACTATTTACCTTTCTCGATTTTCATTTTTCATTCACACAAATGTGTGCCTGTAGTCCCAGCTGTTTGGGAGGCTGAGACAGGAAGATCACTTGAGTCCGGAAGTTTGAGGCCCATCTGCGTGACACAGAGAGACTTCATCCCCGCCCCAATAAATGAAATAAAGAACAGAAATAACTAAAAGTAGAAACAAAGCATCAGTCTGATTGACACTTTTTGTAACGTAACTGCGTGCTTTATTGAGATACACAGTAAAGCAGTAATATAATACAATAGTAAGGCATATATTTGGTGAAGTCTGATATGTTGTGAAAATGCAGTAAAACTGAAGTTTAAAAAAATAATTAGTAAATGTTACAGTGTTGGTGTTTAAACACAATATTATTATGATACTCAAGTAAGAACCCAGTACCTGAAAACAATGACATAACATGCCATGTGATGCTTATGCTTCAGTTACACTGATTATGATTTACAGTTTAACACTCAGTGGTTATAAAGAACACAAAATAATGTCCAAATTATGCTTTAAACTCAGCAATAAAGCTCTCAGTTTTTATTCAAATATTTTGACAGACTCACTCCAGAACTAATATCTAAAAGATAAAACAAAATCAAAAGATTAAAACAAAATTATGCACTCTACCTCTGATTTTAGAGTGAAACCTAAAACTTCTTAGTAGGATGTAAAGTAACCCCTTGTTTTAAATGTTGGTTAAAACAAACCTCGGGTAAAGAAAAAGTCCAGCGTCAGAGAAAGGAAAAAATGCAAGACTAAAACCAAATCTCCAAGTAACTCAGAGCTCTCCTTAGAGCTTTGGAAATTATAAAGGAGAAAGAAAATGGAGAGTAATGGCCACACGATACACAAGTGGCGAAGCTGTGAAATCAGGTGTGCACAATTACCAGGAACACCCCAAAACCAAAGTGAGGTAGAAATAGCATGAGAAGCTGTGTGTGATGTTAATTATCATTAATAAAACAATGGACAAAACCCACACTCCAAAAGTTAATTACACTTGATGTCAGAGGTAACAGATTTGCAAAGTAATAGGACACACAAAGATTTCTATTGAATTAATGCATTTTTAAAAATTAAATAGTAATAAAATGGCATGAAAGAGTAAAGCTTTTTCCTACCAGTCCTTAGCTTTTCCTCTTCACTGTTTCTCCTCACTTTGAAGAATTTGTTTGCTTATATATTTATCCTGCCTAATTCACCATAAAGGGTTTGGAGAAGGATTTGCTTTTGGAACAGATGAATTGATTTGCCTTCCCACTTACAAACCTTTGTGGAACTTCTTGTAGAGAAATGTGAAGGAGGGAAACAGAGTTCATGGGCTTCTGGATGGATATTTACCACTGTCACAACGTGATGGGGCTACTGTCTTACACATTTTCCCAAGGGTTATTTTAAACTAATTTCTTGCAGCATTCAAAAATTCATCATGATGGGAAGAAAATCAACAAAACAACAATAACAAACCACTCACTTCTCTGTGAGAAGAGGGCAGAAAAATTCATTTGTGATTATAGATATGTGTGTATGGATGGTTATGAATCTTCATCCAGTCCTCTAAGAGTGGCCTGCTCCCTCACAGGGATGGGCTGGGAATCCATAGCCCTATAGCCCCACCACTGTCCTCCTAGTGCCTGGGAGTTAAAATGCCTTCTGATGCTCCTAATTTCCACAGAAGCATCATTAAATCTAAATGGTGGCTTAGCCAGCAACAGGAAGCCAAATATATCAACCAAAATATTACTGTGATATAGTAAGTCTTATGGATTCCTTCACATGTTCCTTTTTTAAAAAAATTCAATACTCTAGTCGTCAGTGGAAAGTTTAAAATGAGAAACATCTGGAGTCCTGGACAATGTTTTAGTGTGGTAGTTTCCTCCTAGCTTCAGGCTCCAGGGAAAATTCATTCAAGACCAAGCAGGTAAGTCCAGATGACTAGAAGCAGTTTTTTTCCCATTAGAAAGTGGCAGGAACATTTGAAGAAGAAATTTAAAAGGTCTATAGAAATTCTTTCCCTTTCTCTATATACCTATAGTATTTATATACTTATAGACATATAGATGTATAAAATGAAAGCCTACAGCCAGACCCACTCAGTCAACAATACTCAAAGGAGCAATGTGAAGTAGTCATTTGGTGGTGTTAGAAGAAGTCCTATCTTTAATATGCAAGGAAAGAAAAAAAGCCATGAACCTCATATGAATATTACACTAAAACAATGCAAAACAATGCGCTGCCTCAGTTCGTGTGTGTCTTGTGTGTGCGTGTGTGTGTGTGTGTGTGCGCGCGTGTATGTGTTTGTTTTTAGGGGTTTTTATAAACAACTTTTTTTTTTATAAAGCACACTTTAGTTTACAATCTTTCTTTATAACTGTTATAAATTTTTAAACAACCCAAAATGCGTTCCATATAAAGAAATGGCAAGTTATTTAGCTATCAAGATTTTACATGTAGTTTTCTTATAACTTTTTTGTACAATTGCATAGACGTGTAAAACCTGCCATTGTTAACAAAACAATAACAGACTTAGAAACTACTGAAATCTACAGTATAGTACCACTACCCTTCACAAAAATATAGATTTTATTTCTTGTAAACTCTTACTGTCTAATCCTCTTTGTTGTATGAATATTATAAAAACCATGCGGGAATCAGGAGTTGTAAAACATTTATTCTGCCCCTTCTTCATCTGTCATGACTGAAACTAAGGACTCCATCGCTCTTCCCAAATCATCTGCCATGTGGAAAAGGCTTCCTACATTGTGTCCTGGAAAACAAAGAGAAAGAAAGGGTGTAGGTATCATCACCTTGATTTTCTTGCTATTTGGGAAATCGTTACCCACTTCTGGGTGAAGACAACACAACAGGGTTTAATTTTCCCCAGTTTCCAGAAAGAAGCAAAGCCTTGTTAATGAAGCATCACACATTGTTAGTATCAGCTTGCTTAATACTGGAGCAGGCTACTGGTGTCATTTACATGAAAAATATTGAGCACTGCATTCATCTTCCCAATGGAACTATCATATAGCAAAAAGATTCTGTGGATAAACACAAGATTCCTATTGTAACAGGAATCATTTCATGATGAGGTAACACTTTTTCCACCTTACTGTATTTACATTTACTTGTACTATTTTTTATGATCAAACCACCCCTACCATAACTATCACCACCCTCATGAATACCATCGCCACCATCATCATCATCATCATCGTAACCACAATACCATCACCATTAACATCACGGTCACCATCACCACCATATGAAATCTTCATTCCCAGGCTATGTCAGGCTGTGAAGGGTAGAGGTAGTATTGCGGAGGTGGCTGATTCCTCTCTGCTTTTACTTGGGTTGAAAAATAAACTCTTGAACTGACCTTTGTGTATACTATCAACATTTGAATTAGGAAACTTCAGAGTAAAAATTGCCTCTCATCCCAAATCACTCTAGAGCCTAATTATAATATGACCCACATTCTAGCATGCACAAGGCCCTGGGTTCAATCTCTAGCACCAGAAAAATATAATAATATGACCCACATGTATGCATGGATTTGGGTACCTGTGTATCCATCTTTGATATCCTCCTAAATGAGGGTTAACTATCAGAATAACCTTTTAATAATAATGTGGCGTGACCTAGCATTAATGCCCCAGAATGGAACATAAGAACAGCATGTTCCTGGATGCTCTGTAGCAAAATTTAGATCTAGACTATGATGTTCTGAGACATTCACACTTTATGGCTTTCCTTTTCATTTATGTCCCATATTTTTATGGGGCTAATTTTAATTCTTAGACACTGGTAAATCATACTGCTCAAAGTACTGCCTTTGGAATGGAAAAGCTTTCCTAGGCTATGACTACCTTGCCATGGATCAACTTTACAGATTCCCAGAATAATTGTTAAAATCCCAATAAAAATTAAAGATAGTCTAAAGCAGGTATTCTGTCCTAATATTTATTCCCAGTGACATGCCTTTTTTTTTTTTTTTTAAATACGAGGGGATCAAAAGAGGATTCATGGGCAGGCACTTAAAACCACAATGGCACCAGATCAATTTAGGACTTATTAAAAGTTTAATGTGATTCAAGCATTTGTGTTACAGTGACCAAGTTTGTAAATCTCTTTGAGCTTTATTAGTGCAAAAAGTTTTGGCGAGGGCTAATTACATTCTTTTTTAAAATCACTTGGATTTTGGCTGAGACTGCAAATATAAAAATTTTTAACAAAGCCTATGTACTGTTCAAAAAAGTGGTCAACAGTTTGGCAGTCCTCTATGAAGAACTGAAATTGTCTTTTGACTTCTTATTCTTTTAAAAATATTTATTTTTTAGTTGTAGTTAGACACAATACCTTTATTTTATTTATTTTTATGTGGTGCTAAGGATCTAACCCAGGCTTCACATGTGCTAGGCGAGTGCTCTACCGCTGAGCCACAACGCACCCCCACCACCCAGTCTTTGACTTCTTTATGTTATAAAAACCACAGCAAGATGCAGTGGATCCTTTGTTGCTCCTTACTGCTCAGAGTACAAATAGATAATGATGCCACCAGCCAGGAGGGCTTCTCTGTTTTGTTTTGGTACTGGGGATTGAACCCAGTGTTTCTCTAGAACTGAGCTATATTCCCCTGCCCTTTTTATTTTATTTTGAGACAGGGTCTTACTGAGTTGTCCTGGATGGCCTCCAACTTGGGGTTCTCCTGCCTCAGCCTCCAGAGTAGCTGGGATTAACAGGCATGCACCACCATGCCTGGCCCTGTATCTATTTTTGAGTGCACAGCAATCCTGGGAAATCTGCACAATCATTCATGCATAATTGAAAAGGATGAACTGCAAATTTTGAATTACCAGCAATCTTCACAGCTATTAACAAAGCCAGTGAAAAAAATCTCAGATCCTAACAACATGATATCTGAATATAATTCAAACTATTTCTTATGTCCCACATCTAACTATAGGATACTTCACCTAATAGCTAGAAAATGTATTATAAAACATAAATAAAAAAGGGAAGAACTTGGTTTTTCTTGCTCGCTATGGATAATAAAAGTGCCTTTTTAGAACATGTGCTAAGGGTTGTGGACTAAAGTTCAAAAAATATTAAAATAAGTAAATGCATCTGTAAATTATATAGCCAAGTGGTGCTTCTATTCTTTAAAATGTGTTCAGTTACCACCTGGAAGGAAAATTCTTGAGTTTCTTAAGAGGCATAAATTCTAGGGGTATCTGCTATTGAAAACTTTGCCAGGGAAAACAGGTTCATTATTCTTAATACACAACATATATTCCCACAAAAATGTTAGATGATCTTTCACCTGTTTAGACTGTTAAATGTTAAAAATATAATGTAAGGATGGCCTTGTGGCCATCCTTATATTATAAAAACAAAGAGTTTTTAGAGTCACCTCACCATATCTGTTATCCCTTTAGTTACTGCATTGATAAATACCTGTTTCACCAAAATAATGATTCCAATATTTTTCAGGAAGGTTTCCATAAGATCCAGAAAAAAAATACAAATTCTGTTTTGAACAAAATATTGCCCCAAAGAATCAAACCTCAATCCACTGGAGGATTCAAACCACACTGTGACATGCATACATAAAACCGATTTGTATCCTGGTTCTACTATCTGTGTGGGTAAGGCACAGCATTAGTGCGGTCATCAATTTTACCTGATAGATTTTTCTAAAGTCAAAATTAAAATCTCATTCCTATAAATGCAAGAGGCACTGAAAAGCAGCCAGGATTCAGGCATTTGCAATCAGCTTCAGGCACAAGTTGACACCAAAATATGTCTATAGAAAGTATTAATTTAATCCATTCTTAAGCAAGGATCATTGAACACAAAGGCACCATGCGTTGAACATTAGGGCAGTTTTATGTTTTTCCAAGTTGGCACTAACTGCAACACATTTAGTCTCACAAGCCGCCACTGCCTAAGGGAGTTGTTTTCCACAGTGATTGGAATTGAGACTTTCTGGCAAACATCCAAGACCTCAATAGCAATCTGGCACTCTATTTTTTTTTAAATACAATTCCCAAATAAATGGTTAGTATTCAGTTGGCCCAAGCAAAGCCAGAATACTGCAGTGAAATTTGCTTATCTTTTCTTCTCTATAGTTTAATCTCTGGGAAATATCTGGTCTACTGTGCATTTAGGGTATTGTCATAGCATTAAAAAAGTGATTATTGTTTTGATTCTCTGGCTTCTGGAAACTTATCTGACTATAGTATGCCTTAGGTAGTCATCTTCAAGTGCCTCTGTGACTTCAATTGTGTGTGCTGGCCTTTTAAAAAAGTTGTTCATCAAAAAAACGCATTCAGGGGGTCAAAACTGTGGCACAATTTTTCACAATAAGTTAAAATAAATTTTAAGAGGCACTTACCATAAGAACGAAACCAAGAAGTGTCACATATGAAGTACATGAGGTAGGAGCAGTCAATGCTTCACTGACTCAGGTTTCTTTAATTTTTCCTCCCAACCTACCACTCCCTCCCTAAGACCCCACTGCATGAAGCCCTGGAAGGGAGCACTGGTGTAGACACACTGAGGATCATGGGATTCATTAAACTTGCACAGCATGGTGTTGGCAGAATTTCCAGTATGACTTCTTATGTTTAAATAAATCAGTGGACTTCAGTCCATCCCATTGCTAACAATCCAGAATCTTCTCATATAGGAACTCTCCACCCATTCAATCTGTCACCCAGAACAGTGCATACCACTGACATCCCAGCAGTGAGCTTTCCTTCTCCTCTCTTTCACATTAAACTCTTGGCAAGGACAATCTTGTTTCATTTGGGCTGTCACTCAACATTGTCATGCAACAGCCACTTGATTAGGTAATTCGATGTTCAGACAATATTCCAGGTAGAACAGGAGTAAGAAGCAGTTTTTTCACTGTAAAATCCCTAAACCACATTCAGTGATAGTGCTGTATGCTGTTGCTTTCAACCCCTAGTGAGACATTTAAAGAAATTCAAGACTCCAACTTTCAATTTTTTTTGGGAACCTAATTAGTTATTATTCTCTCCTGGCTCCAAATGCCAAATGAAAAGGAACATCTTCTAAAGGGCAAGTGAAGATGACATAAGCATTTCAACGCTATTTTCTGAGGTGGCAGTATAACGTAAGAGTTAGGAGTATGGCTCTGGAGCCAGGTTGCCTGGACTTTAATCCTGGCTCTGTCACCTTGGACACACTGCTTACCCTCTCACTAACTGAATTTCCTTATCTGTAAAATGGGATTAAGAAGTGTATCTACTTCATAGATCTGTCATTAAGATTATTTGAGGGAAAAAATAGCAGGGGCTTAGATCAGTGCCTGACACACAGTATGTGCTTCAAAAATATTAGCTAAAATGGGAAAGAGTGTAGGAACCAGGAAAAAAGAAAACAAAACCAAAATGACATCATCCCAGAAGACTAAAATCCAAGGGCACTGGCAGAAAATGCTAAGGTCCTGGAAATGGAAGGAAGCTTTATGACTCATCAATTATGTTCAAGGCTAAATTTATTTTGAAGACTTTGTTTGTGTTGCAAATGGCAACAGATGATGAACTGCAGGATTATATCCTAGGGACCACAGAGGATTGCCACTTTCAAGAGATTTCTGCTCCCCCAACCCCCATTCTGTCGTCATGGTGATGACCACAGCAATGAATGTTTGAGGAATGTTCTTCATGAGCTGCAAGTGGAGAGGTGACTACCATCCTTACATTATGACACAATGTGCAATACACACATGCGCGTGCACACACACATTTCTTACACAAAGGCCAAACATAGAAAGCAGGATGAGACAGACAGAAGCCATGGCTGTGAGCCTGAATCTCACTAACCTCTCTCATTGGTTTTCCAGGGGTATTTCTTCCTTTAATAATAGAGAGAGGAAGAGGCAGAGATATCAGAAAGGGAAAAAAAACATGCATAAATATACAGTTTCATACCAATTTGCTTCTTTTACCAAACAAATGTTGCGATGACAATTCATTTATTCCCTTCTGGAGGAAAAAAAAACAAACAAACAAACAGAAAAACCCCAAAGACACATCTAGTCGAATAACCTTTACATACACTTAAAAATCAGTGTAAACAGAAAACATGATTCAGGAGACATCATTTATAGAGTCCACAGAGTTCACGCATTAAACTGGATGAAAACTGGCATGGAATAGAAATTTGACAAATTGAGCATTGTTTTCAAGGGCAACTGTAGAGTCTTAAGCTTAATATTCAATAATCTCAGACTCTCTTCACTTTGGACTTGACAATCAACACACTGAAACATAAAAAGTAATTGGCTGTTGTGTGCCAAAACTTTGCACCCCAAATGCAAAGGAGAATCCCATATAGAGGCTGAACTCCATACTCCTGGGATAATCTGTTCTATCTGGTAGAAACTGAGTATATTGATGATTGGACTGGGGACATTTGAGAAGATAGCAAGAAAAGATGAAGGGAAGAAGTGAATCTCACTAATGGGCAGGCCACAGAGCCAGATCCAAGAATAAGCCTTCAGCCTCCTCAAATTTCAATAAATATCAGAACATTGAAAGTCAATGGCTAAAGACACACTTGGCTTGCTTTACAGAATCCTATATCTATATGCATTTAATCTATTTTTGAATGAGAAAGTATTTTTCATAGTTGGATGGAAATTAGGAACCTCCGACCATACTTAATATCTCTTGGGCATGAAGTTTCCTTTTATCTCCAGGTCTTCAAAAGTGAAATACTGGGTTTCAAGCTATTTGGCTTTGGCCATGGGACATTTCCTAACAGTCTTAAATGGAATTCCAGCATTTATAACAGATAAAAGTGGAGTTGTTAGAGAGCCTGTCCAACATTTCCTTTTCCCTCAACCCATCATGCTTAGTGGTTCCAAGACTAAAACTCCCTGAAATAACTTCAGAGAATGAAGAAGTATGGAGTTATAAAAGAAATCTTTCTTAACTCAAGTTCCAAACTTCTAGCATATATTAAAAGTTTTTCTAGGTATGACTTTTTCCTTCCTTCCTTGCCTCCCTTCCTTCTTCCCTCCTTCTTTTCTTCCTTCTGAATTTTCCTGAGAGTTAGAGATTGCTTAAGGACCATGAAAGGATGTTCTTGATGCTCCCCAAGCATGGCAAGAGAGAAAAAAATTCCTGGATCCTCAGCAGGAGTGTTATCAATGGCAGATCCAAAATATGTCATAGGAAAAGGGAGAATATCATTAAGCTCCATGTGAATTACTTGCCCTTTCTTTTGAATACCTTTTTGGTTTTTCTTTCTTTTTAAATCTTTATACTTTCAGGTATACTGTCTGGTAACAGAATTCTCTTTCCCTATAAAACTATAGATTCCTTGAGGGTAGGTTCCCATGTTGCTCACCCATATTTTATCCTTAAACCTTAGCCATTATTCATATTTGATAACTGCACTGAATTCGTAAGGTAGTAGCGAGATCAAGGCCAAAAGTCTTTTCTGTGTTCTAAGCAATTTGGCCTTGGAGTACTATTCTTTAGCTTGAATGCCAAGAGTTTGTAACTTGTTCTGGCTTGTCACTTTGTTCTATTTTTAAAACTTCAGAACTTTTAGGGAGGACAGTATTGTTAGAAAATGATGTGATTTCATTTCAGAATGATCACAGTTCCTAGAATGATCAACTTTATGTATCTTTATTAATTTGACACCAAGTCATATTCAGAAGTTAGTATCAACTGCTTGCAGCTGGATAGTCTGCAGAAAATGCTATTTGGGTGGTTCTAGGTAGGCACTTCTTCAGAAGCCATGCTTCAGAGCCTATGCAAACCCTAATCTTATTCCAAATCCTCCCTCTTCATTCAGGTCCCTATGTGCTCATTAACAGTATAAAAAGAAGTTCCTCTTTTTGTAAAAAATAAAATAAACTGTTAAAAGCAAATAATGGCTGGGTGCAGTGGCACATGTCTATAATCCCAGTGACTTCAGAGGCTGAGGCAAGTGGATCTCAAGTTCAAGGCTAACCTTAGCAATTTAGTGACGCCCTGTCTTAAAAAAATAAAGCCAAAAGGGCTGAGGATGTAGTTCAATGGTAGACTACTCCTGGGTTCAATCTCCAATACAAAATCAAACCAAAACCATAAAAAACAAACAAACAAACAAACAAAAAACAAATAATGTTTTCTATTGTACTGGGAACAGTTCTACACTGACAAAATAGAACCTACTTGGTTGCAACATTTTAAAGAGTTCTTGATCAATACACATACACACACACACACACACACACACACACACAAGTACCAGATAAATGTTTGATTTCATAAGTACAGTCTTTGGAAATGAATTTCCTTACACCTTCAGTTCAAGTGTCCATCTGGCAATGTGGTATATTATCAGGAAATGAATCAAGAGAAAAGGGAAGTGTGTTGGGACAGTACTGGCTCTAAATAAAGGGCTTGGTCAGGTCTGGAGAAGTTTAGTTTCCTGAGGCAGTATGAACTTGAGATTATTGATTGTAATTTACCAGTTCAGAGACAAAAGTGGAGGATGTTATTGTTTTTGACTATCTTTAATCTTAGTTCACTATTTTTAAAAGGTAGGGGAAATTTTGTCCATTTTTAGGGCTTCTGTTTCATTTACAAGTCAAAGATGATTCAAATAGCTACCTATGCTTTCAATACTGAATATAGAAGTTCTTTGGTGAACATGGATATAAATATACAAATCAACTCAATAGCACAGGTTTGTTGAGCTGAAACTTAGTTAGCACTGAAGTCCATGGCTGTATTCATATAATAAGCCAGAATGAACACAAAATAGTGTAAGGCATAGATTGGTTAAGATTTCTCCATGCAGGGCCTGATAATAAGTATTTCAGGGTTTACAAGCCACACAATTTCTGTAGCAACAGTTCAAGCTTGTCACAACCACTCTGCCCTTGTAGTGAGAAAACAGTCATCAATAGCATGTAAATTAATGGATATGGCTGTGTTTCAATAAAACTTTATTTCTAACAACAGGCAGTAGGCCAGATTTGGCCCATGACCTAATCCCTGGTGTAAAGGATAGCTGCTCACAACTTTCGTGGAACTAGATTAGAAACAATAGTGCCCCAAAGGGGGTACATCCATCTGCCTTTGTTCTTTATGTTGCTCTTCCATTTAAAAAAAAAAAAAAGTGAGCTGGGCACCATGGCACATGCCTATAATCCTAGCAGCTCAGGAGGCTGAGGCAAGAGAAAGAGGATCTCAAGTTCAAAGCCAGCTTCAGCAAAAGTGAAGCGCTAAGCAACTCAGTGAGACTCTATCTCTAAAAAAAAATACAAAATAGGGCTGGGGATGTGGCTCAGTGGTCAAGTGCCCCTGAGATCAATCCCCAGTATAAACAAAACAAAGTAAAACAACAACAAAACCCCACCAAACAAAAGAAACAAACTATGAAATGATTTTAATTGTAATAGATGGCAGGTTTTAAAAAGCTCTTGTGTTGGGTAATTTAGGAACCTTTGACAGAATGTATGTGAGCATATTTGAGAAGGGATGGTATAAAAGAGACAGGATGGTACAAGATTTGGGAGACATATTATGTGGCACAGGTTAGTAGGCCAGAGACTACACACACACAACAGAAATCCTCACAAAGCACTGCTCACTGCTTTCTTGATTGTCTTATTGTAGTAAGAGCTTATATTGGATTCTATTATTCATTAATCTCTATGAATGGAACCTTATTTTGGAGAGACTAATATCATACCACCAAGAAAGCATTTCTTTCATTAAGACGTACTACACATATTAAAATACATCTGTAGACTGCTAACTGATCACTGACTTACAGACAAATTGCTTAAAGGATTTATTTTAAAATCATACTTATTGTTCATTCATGTAGTATTCCTATAGAATAATGGGGGATATTTGGAAAATGTCTTAGAGTAGATAAGTAAACAATGATTTTCATTACATTGGAATTCAACTTGTACATATACTCAGACAGAGGGTGGATTACAGATAGATAAATGGACAAATTAGATAGAAACTGGCTAATGTTCAGTGTTTAAATATATACTGAGCCACTGAAATTTCCCAAATGGTTGTGAACTAACTGTATCTAGATAGAAAAGATATAATCACAAAGCTAAATGTGCATACGTTCACACATTCAACACAATGCAGTTTATTTTGCCTCTTATACAGGAATAATGTTGGCCTTCAGTTTATCACTAAATGGAGAAGCATGCAACCCTTTATTAATTTGGATAACTGTTTAGCAAGGACATGGAGATAAGATTAGAAGCCTAATTTAACTTGTGGAATTGGCCATGAATAAGGAACTTAATTTCTTTGAGCTTCTAGATACTCTTTGTGAAAATGAAAACTAAAGATTGGTTGATAACTTAAGGTCCAACTCTTAAATCAAAACTTGGCAAGAGCTAACAACAACAACAACAAATTGTAAATTTAAAGTACACAACAACCCACCTATTCACGTGCTTTATATAATTATGAAAAATGTATTTTTTTAAAAAAATGATTTTCCTCTGTAGGCAATTAACTAGCAGGGTTAAATAAACCATGAGGTGGTATTTAATAGCACATTTCCACTACATGTCAGACCTCTGGCTCTGACATCTGTTTTGAGTTACTCAAACAGCTGTCTGAAACAGCTGTAGCAACCATGAACTTATTATTATTATTTTTTGTAACACAACAACAGGAACATGGATAGAAGAGTCAGAATAAAACTACAAAGTCCTCTAAGACATAAATAGATCTTGGAAGCAACTTCCATGGTAAAAATATTTATTTACTTTTTTTAAAAAAAGATATTCACCTAGACAAAGAAAACTGAGATCAGTTAGATAAAACTTTTTTTAATCATCTGGATCAGAAAATCAATATAGTGGGTTGTAATCAGCATTTTATTTTTCAGTAAATAAAACAGAGCCATTGCATAGGCTTGTGTCTATAATCTCAGTTACTTGGGAGGCTAAGGCAGGAGGACTGCAAGTTCCAGGTCAGCCTGGGCAACTTGAGAGAGAAGTGGGAGGAGACCCTGTCTCAAAATGGAAATAAAAAGGAAGTCTGGGGACACAGCTCAGTGGCAGAGCACCCTTGGGTTTAATCTTCAGTACTGCCAAAAAAAAATAGAAAGAAAAGAAGGAAGGAAGGAAGGAAGGACGGACAGAAGCAGCATGCATTTATGTAGTATAGAAGTACTGTTTCAAACATTTGTTTCTGATCTTTGTATGTACATGTGACTATATACATACATGTATAGTGTATGTAAAATGCTTCTCTTATATAGATAATGATCAAATCAGGTCAATGACTACCATTCTGAATATAAAAACACTTAGATGACCTTCCATGGATATTCTATTTCTGAAAGTCTATAATCCTGAGATGTTGAGATTCTCAAGAACTTCTGCTTAATATCAATCTAATATACCTAACAACTGGTAAGATGTTCTTTCTTAACCCAACTGTTCCTGTCTCTTTCTCTTTCTCCTCAATTAAAAATACTTTTAGTCATAAATAAAAGATCCAAGAGACACTTTTTTTTTTTTTTTGGTACTGGGAATTAAACCCAGGGGTGCTTAACCACTAAGCCACATCCCCAGTCCTTTTTATTTTTTATTTTGAGGCAGGGTCTCATTAAGTTGCTTAGGGCCTCACTGAAGCTGGCCTTGAACTTGTGATCTTCCTGCCTCAAACTCTCAAGTCTCTGGGATTATAAACATGTGCCACTGTGCCTCCAAGAGGCACTTTTTATTCTATTTTTATAACAATGAAACTTTTTATCCATCTGAATTTGAGGAGGAAAAGGCCTAATAACAATGCCCCATTTAGCAAGAATCATGGAAAAACAAAACAAAACCCAAGGTCACAGTATCAAGAAGACCAGCCCAGCTCCGCTAACACATTAGCCACTGTTTTATTATATATGTATTTGTCTATTTTTAAGAATATGAAGTAATTTTCTCATGCCACTGGGGTATGATTAAATAGAAACTTAGTCAATGGAACTGGTGTAAGGATAAGGCCTCCTTATCCTGTATTTGAAAACTGCAGAACTTGGGGGGATGGTATTGTTCCATAAGCACTAATTTAGCAACACTATCCAGGCAGCCTGAATAGTTTCCCAAGATGCCATACAAGTAAATCAATATCACACAAGTAACTACAACAACATCAGCAATGTTAACTGCAAATACCATATCAGAAGAGGTAAATTTCTAGTCTTTTAGGAGATTTATTCTATACCCAATCTAGTTTCAAGGACTCTAAAAAGGAAACTCAGAGATATGCTGCAAAAGATTTTACCTTAAAGCTAATTAGGGTGGAGCAGAGGCATGGGTACAAAAAAGAAGGCAAGGCTACCTCTGGGGAAGGAAAGCCAGCAGTCTTGCTGTTGCCTCTTTCCTGAAATATGCTTGTTGTTTAGATGTGGGAGAAATGCCCAGGGCACCAACAGAGCAGCTACCTACATCCCATACAGCAGGTAAACAAGCTTCCAGTTCAAGGGGCTGGGATAAGATGCTTATCTAGGGCCTTCAAAGGAAAGCGTGGGGGTGATGAAATGTGTACAACCTTGAAGAAGAAACTTCTGCTTCAGGTTAACTCCTTCCTTCCTAATTCACTATCAGGTGTTTTATTTATGTAGTATGGAAGCTACTGTTTCTGATCTTTGTATGTATATGTGATTATATATATATATATAGTGTATGTAAAATGCTTCTCTTACATAGATAATGGTCAAATCAGGGATTTACTCATGCCAAATAAATTTCTATTACAGTCATCATATAATTGCTTTGTGATCTGAACTTCTTTGGAATTCTCTGTCCCCAAGGGACCGTAAGTTCCTTGAAGGCAAGGAACTTGTCATTTCTTCTTTGACTCCCTAGTACTTTCTCTGATACTAGTAGGCACTAGTAAAAGCTGACAGGATAAAATAATGAGAATAAAGGTGAAAGCATTTGATTTCTGCCAATCCAGTATATGGTCTTCTCCTTATAAATAGTGAAGAGTAGAAAGAAGAGATATGTAAGCTATTCAGGATGGGGATTCAGGTGGCAGGTGGGGGGTGTAGAGGTGAGTGGAAGACAGATAAGATTCTTATCTGTTAAAATCAACACATCAGTGGTGCTCAGCAGTGAAAAGATGGCTGGTGCAGACATTTAAAATTAGCTTCCCCTGATGGTTCCTTAGCAACGCTCCACTAGAACATTATTGCTTTTAGCGTGCACTGCACAACGTTCTCTTGCACATCAAATAGCTAGGAAATGGCCATTGTTAACTGACACCGAACAAAAAGATAGGAAAAACATACTACTCAAAACACCCTCCTCATTGCCCTTATGGAGAGGAACAAATAGCCCAGATTTTCTGCCGCCCTTCCCTCCCAGGCTGCTCATTAGGGGTGCCAATCATTGGTCACAAAGCCTGGTGTTTTCCTCTTTATACTTCCCCAGGCTTTCCTTCTATTTGATCACAGGTGACTGCTACCATTCTTTTTATTTGTGGAAGGGAGGTGGATCAGTGACTTTTATGTTGGGGCAATATACCAAAATAAATGCCCCCAGAAACTAACAATGGCAGCAAAATATCTCTTTGGGTGAAGGGAGACATCTGAAGCTCAGGCTGGAGGGAAGATTCTGTGGGTGAAAATGCTGCTTGTGCATAAGAAGCAAAATATACAGGTCAAAGTGATGGAAAGAAAGAAAAATAATATTAATATTTTTCTTTATAAAGCTTATACTCCAACTATGGATTAGCAAACTAATCTATAAAAGATTCATTATCTTTTACTTAAATGATGGGGTATGATACAATTTTTAAATATAAAAGGGCATCAGCGGGTGAGTCATAATCCTTAGCACCACCACTTGCTAGGCATGTCCTAGGTCTCACTGTACCACATAGCAGCTACATGTTCCTTGCAAAAGCATCACAGGGCATTCATTTCCTCATTTGGAAAAGTCACATAATAATTACTCTTAAGTAAAAGATACCTTCTAACTAACTCTTCAGACCAATATGTGAAGCAAATAAAATATTTGACACAGTAGAATGCCTATTTCTAGAAACACCTCATTGACATAGGTGATTGAATTCCAAATAAGCCAAACCAGAAATTCATAGTAAAAATAACATCTTCCCACCATGGACCCAAATTGGCATTCTGTAGGCACATGTTGGCTTTCAGGTGGATAATGCATATACATCAGTAGGGTACAGAAGAGAATGCCATCATTCCAGTTTATGTGAGTCCCATTTAGGTATTGGAGCTTACCTCTTGAACTAGGGAAGGAGTTGTTGAGTTGCTCCATCACTTCCTCTAACCCTGTGCTTGTGTCCTGGGGAGGACTGAGAAGATCTTCCTCACCTTAATGAAAGAAAACAAAACAAAACAAAAGGATGAATTATGTGTTAGCAAAACATAGAGGTTCCAGAGAAAGGGGCCATGATTACTTTTTAAAACCATTATAGTAAGGCATGGTGGTACACACCTGTAAGCCCAGTGATTGGGGAGGCTGAGGCAGGAGGATGGTCAGGTAAAGTGCCCCCTGGATTAGATGCCCAGTACATATCTCCTCCATACACACACACACACACACGTGTGTGTGTGTGTGTGTGTGTGTGTGTGTGTGTAAAATTCCCTTTACTTGCTCATGAAGAACATTAACAAAAAAAATCCTCCAGCTTAATAATTAGAGGACATGGGCTGGGGTTGTGGCTCAGCAGTAGAGTGCTCTCCTAGCACATGCAGGGTGCTGGGTTCAATCCTCAGCACCACATAAAAATAAAATAAAGGTATTGTGTCCAACTACAACTAAAACAAAATATAAAAAAATAATAATTAGGGGTTAATTCTTTAAAGTGAAGAATTCTACATAGTTATTTGTGTCACTATTCTTGGAGAAGAAAACAAAGTTTAAAAGATTGCGTATCCAGTGAAAAATAAAAAGGGATAGGGATGTGGCTCAGTCATTAAACACCCCTGGGTTCAATCCCTGTTACCAAGGGGTGGATGGAGAAGTTGATAAATCTTCTTTCCTTATGAAACATTAACAAATGTGAATCCTCTCCCCTAATTGAACCCCCAGGGGCCCTCCACCACTAAGCAGCATCCCCAGCCCATTTTATTTTTTATTTTGAGACAAGGTCTCTCTATATCAAGAAGGCTGTTCTGGAGCTTGCAATACTCCTGCCCTAGCCTCTGGACTTGCCTGGATTACAAGCGTGTGCCATTGCACCCAGCTGAACTTTTTTTTGGAATGAAACAATTATTACAAAATTGCAGTGTACCTCCTCAACACAAAAGAATGTTTCATTCTGTGTTTACTTTATGAAGGTAAGAAAAAAGTGAAGACACCGAGGTATTTTTTTCATGCTTCACTTTGACATTTAACTAAAATTACAAACAAAACTCAAATACCTTTAAGGCCCAATGTAATAGAAATAAAAGTTGCATGTGACCTGCATAGATAATGAAACATTAGTATTCTAAGGATAGTAGATGTAGAGTGTAATGGGGAATTTTGTTCCTTTCCTCCTTGTTACTTGGGACTACATTATCAAAATGATGTTTGATCATTTTATAGAGAGAAATTTTCTTTCTCAGTTTTGAGATTTGCTTATGTGTGTAGAGTGCTGATGTGTAAGTAAAGGAATTCTTGAGGAATGGATGGCTTTCTCAGGGAATGAGAATCTCCTTATAGACTTTGTACATCAGAGTCTCTATTGTTCATTCATGTGTCAAAGAAATATCCCTCAAAGAACATTTTGCAGTAAGGGGGAAATTTCTTAGGTGTAAATCAAGTTCATTTTCAATTTTGAAGGTTCTCTGAAACTAATTTTCCATAATAGTCAATCTTCCAATAATTAAAATAACATCTTTTCAAGCTCTACTTGTTCAGCACATTGTTACTTCCATTTAAAACAAGACCTTGTTTCAGCAAGTCAGCAATAATGACCATGCTTAAGGGCAACCTCAGGTTCACATTTCACTTATGACAGGGGAGCCAGTGAATAAATGATTTACATATTTTTGTCATTTCCTTTAGTCTATACCACTTGGATTTTCAATGATAATTGTAACACTGAAGTTATTCTTACATTTTCATCTTTTTTTGGGTGGGGGGAGTACTGGAGATTGAAGCCAGGTATGAGTTACCACTAAGTTACATCCCCAAACTTTTTGAGACAGGGTCTCCCTAAATTGCTGAGGCTGGCCTTAAATTTGAGATCCTCCTTCTTCAGCCTCCTGAGGGATTTACAAGCATGTGCCACTACCACACCCAGCTTATCCTTGCTTTTAAAGCACCAGCTAAAAGAATCACTGCTAATGCTAACCATTAAGACAAAAATCATATCTTAGTTGGATCTGGGGCTTTATATCATTATTAGAATGGAGAGTTAAGATTTGGGATAATAAAAAGCCTCTGTGTATCTCATGGTAACAGACCACAGGAAACCTCTTTGAAATAACAAAGACAGAAAAGGATTAAGATCACAAAATAGAAAAGGAAGACTCTTTCTCTATACATGTGCACGTGTACACACACACACACACACACACACACACAATATATATATATTTAAAGAAAGAAAGAAATGACAGAAGGTATTTTTCATTTCTCTTTTCTTGTAGTCTTAAATGCCCATTATCTGGTGAAGATGGAATGAATGAAATACTACCATGAGGAACAGGATCCTGACAACTGCAGGGCTGATGATATCTCTTTGTTCCATTAGTGATGCAGATTTTTGCTGAATTGGGAAATATGAGGCATTTTTAATGGTGGCAAGTCCACCTCTGTGACAGTATGTCTTATAGAATAAATCAGAACCTACAGAGACACTCATGAACATTGATGTTAATATTTCTGACAGTTTAATTACATCATACTGGAGCTCAAGGAACTCAATAGTAGTGTGTTAAGATTCAGGTTCAGTTCAATGATGTGATTGGCATTCCTGTCCCTGAATTATTTCAAGGATCAAATTATAAAGTATAAGTTGAATGATGTCAGCCAAGTTCAACTTTACAGATAAACTATCATCTGTGAGTCTCAAATAGGAGTGCCCAAGTACAAATGTAAAATTAGCTTGTTTTAATGGAAAACTTTCATGGCAGTGATAATTACATCCATTCAAACTTTTTTTAGTGCTGAAGATTGAACCCAGAAGCTTTGTGCATGCCAAGCACACATTCTACCATTCAACTACACCCCTAACCCCGCTTCAAACATTTCTGAGTATCTAATACATCCTACATATCACATAAACAAGTGAAGTATCATCTTGTTTTCTTATTTTCTCAATATTCTCCAGATTTCCCAACCTGACTTTATCTTTTTAATTTTAATCAGATACATCTCCTGCATGGATGAGTAAAGGTCAATCAACTGAAAAATGCTTAATGCCTAATATTTTCAGTATTAGATTATATAGGAGAAGTTAAAACTTCTAAGTGGATCCTGAATTGAAAGTAATATCATTGTACTCTAATATACTGGGTCAGTTTTTTAAAATGATTTACATAAAACCCATAAAAATTAACAGTAAGATTAATTTTCATTAAAAAAATTGACCAAAACTGACTATATTCCAGGCACAGTTCTAGATGCATGAGTTATAGAAATGAACAACCAAAAAGCCTTGTCTCAATAAATCTCACATTCTTATGGAGGTATTCATGCTGAACAAATAAACGAGTAAATTGGTTATGTATGTTGGGTGGTGATAAACATTCTTTTTTAAAAAAATATTTTTTAGTTGTTGATGGACATTTTTAAAAAATTTATTTATATGTTGTGCTGAGAATCAAACCCAGTGCCTCACACATGATAGGCAAGTGGTCTGTCACTGAGCCACAACCCCAGCCCAGGTGATAAACATTCTTGAGGAGAGGGTTTGAAAAGGACAATGAAGACAAATCTTAAGAAAGGGCAGCCTTGGAAGCCCTCATTGATAAATTGCACTTGAGCAAAACATTTAAGGACTTGAGAATGTGAGCCATGTAGGAATATAAAAGGGAACTGTAACAGACAGATGAAATAGCAAATGCAAAGGTCCCAAGAGAAGAGTGTGATTGACTTGCTCAAAATACAGCAAGAAGACAGTGTAGACAAGAATGAGAAAGTTTGGGAGGAGCAGACTTTCCTGGCCCAAGAATTTGGATTTGCTCATGTATGGGACAGTCCTAAATCCAACCCATGACCTAGAGTTAAGTGTAGCTGTGCTCTTAGAAAATTTCAGTCAACTAACAGAGATGTTTCTTTTTTTTTGTGGTGCTGAGGATTGAACCCAGGGCCTTGTGCATGCAAAGCAAGTACTCTACCAACTGAGCTACATCCCCAGCCCCAACTGAGATGTGAATGAGAAAATGCAATTTAAGAATTTTGTTGCAGGGCATGGCAGTGCACTCCTGTAATCCTAGCCTGTAATCTCAGCAGCTCGAGAGGAGGGGCAGGAGGATCACGAGGGCAAAGTCAGCCTTGGCAATTTAGGGAGATCTCGTCTCTAAATAAAAATACAAAAAAGGCCTGGTGATGTGGCTCAGTGGTTAAGCACCCGTGGGTTCAATTGCCAGTACCATAAAAAGAAAGAATTTTGTAGTTATTTATAAACATGGCAATAGCCAACAGAAGGTTCCCAACATATAAAAATGCTAAGATTTGAGGAGACAGAAATGCTAACTGCTCTGATTTGATCATTACACATTGTATATCATATTGAATTAAAATGCTGTACCCCCAAAATAAGTACAAATACTGTATGTCAATGAAAAATAAAAATATGACAGTTGATATACTGTTTGAAGACATCAACCTAATAAGATACGAATATCTGTGGGTTTTTTTGATCATACACTATGCAAAATGATAGGCAACCCCCAAATGTTCCTGATCCTAATATCCATACCTGTGACAACAAGCCCTCACTCACCCCACCAAAAAAAGAAAGAAAAAAAAACCTCTTCATTTATTCAATAGGAAAATACATACTGAATCACTAATGTGCCCACTAGGAATCTGGTCAGTCCTTATCCATACTTTACTGATTCATTGCCTGCTCAAATAGCATACTGCTAGTGGTTGAGGGATTTTAGTTAATAGCAGTTCCTTTACATTTAACACTTCAACTTGATTCAATTCCAAATTGATTCCCACAAACACATGTAAAAAAATTTTTTTCGATTCCTAGCAATATGATCTTGGCTTTTCTGAAGTTAGCCAGAGAAATGACAGAAACATTTCAAAAATGAATGTTTCAAAATAAAGAAAGATAGAGTCAAATTCAAATATTACCTTGATACACCATAATGTGTTCATTTCTTTTCATCACCAATGAAGTTAAGAAAAAAAAAAAACAGTGGGA